CATAACACCATACCAACTAAACTCATAGTAACGCATCAACTAAATTCCAACAAAACCCGACATCATCCCCGTTTTGTAGCTCCAAATTTGTATGGAAGCCTGTCAACAAATGATAAGACTTTGATTTGCCTTTACACGTTGTCTCACATGGAATTTTGAAATGGCCATTGTTACCTTTCCACTACCCAATTAATATCTTATTGTTAACTTTAATGTTCGATTTAAGATACGTAAAGAAAATAAATAGTAAGTTAACCGGGTTTGGGATGTTTGTGTGTGTTGCGGGGGGTTAGCCCACGTTTGGGACAAAAACACAGTTAACTGCATTCTATTTTCTTAGCTTAGAAGGCTAATTTGAAATCTAAGGCTTTGCATATAAAAGTTTTCAGTCAGTCTAATTTATCAAACCTTGTCAGTCAGATTATAATTAAAATTATAAATACTCATGTTACAGTGAGCTGCTCCCTCTCCCATTATGAAACTTATACACATGATACATTGGCTGAGAGTGAAAGACTTAAAACCCAAAAAACAGAAGGTCATTGATAAAATATTAATTTACCATATTTCCATTGTGATCTTCCGCATGATATCCATTACCATTAGCATGATGATGATGATCTCCATTATTGTTTTCTTCTACACTCAAAAACTCTGTCATGTAATATTCAAACTTGTCAGCCATGCTTTCGGGCACCGACACGAGCACTCTCACAGCATCCAAATCGCCAACGACTGGTAAAAACAAGCAGTAAACGTCGCTTGTTAGAGGACCCATATGCAATGCCTTCCCTTCTCCAAAATCCAAGTCCTCTAACCCTAACTTAGCCCATTGCGATATAACCAAACTCCTACTCAAATCTGTCTTCAGCGTTTTGTCCTCCAATAAGTCAACCATTGACCTCACATAATCATCATTATTAACATCCGATTTAGCCTGTCGGACCAACTTAACCCCGTGGCGCAGGTTTGCACCGACCAAGTCCTTCACAGTGGTCTCGGCGCATCCTAGCACGAACCCGTTGCCGTAATAACCCTGTGGGATTTGTGGGTTCAATCTCGTCCGTACGCTCACGGAGAAAAGCAGCTTCACGCTGAGCAAGGGCGACAGATCCAAGGATCTAACCCAGGAGCGCCACGTGTGAGCTGCCAGGGCTTCGAAGGTGGTGCATTTTAGTGACGGTACGCACTGTTTCTTGAGGTGAAGGGTATGAGACTGGGTGAAGGTTAAGGATGTGGGGACGAGCGGCTGAGATTGAAGCAGTCTCAAGATGTCCACGTGCGTGCTGTTGTCCTTGGCGTTGTTGTTGCTTGTTATGGTAAACTGAGGATGAGGAAAGGTTACTTGTGGAGGACACCGGGATTTTAACACGTGGCGGACGTGT